AACCCCTTAAGCTCGAGTATTCTAGGACCTTTATCTACCTTATTTTTTTCATTTTAGACTAATTTCGTGTTATTGTCCTTTTCATGCACTTATCCCCAAAATAAGTCAATTCAGCCAAATTAAAGGATAAAAGAAGCAATCTCAAACTAAATGGAAGAAAGGAACAAAGTGGAAGCAAAGTGGTGGAAAACAGCAAGTTTTGATCGATCAAACAAATCTTCGATCGATCTCACAGTGATCGATCCAGCCTTATCAAGATGGATCGAGCCTCTTGTCCTTATCCCCAAGAATTTTCATCTTCGATTGATCCAACATCCTTTCGATTGATCGAACTTCTTTGATCTTATCCCCACCTACCACTTTTGTCTTTTTTCCAAAATATCCCGAAAAAATCTTAGATTTGTGTTTATTCCAAAAAGGCGCCACCATGGTTCGATCGATCTCACCAGACTTCGATCGATCGAACCCCCTCAAGTTCGAAAAAAAACAGAGTTAAGCTCATTAAAAGATGGCTCGTGGTGCAATCATTAAAGGGACCCTAGTGCACGAGACCTGACCATTGGGTATGACATTTGAGCTACCTATATAAGGATTTTGAGCCATTTTATACATATACAATCTTAGAGATATACACAATCTTGGAGAGAAAGGATGGAGGAGTCTAGAGATTAAAGAGATATACATCATTTGGGAGTTCTTCCATTCATTTAGGGTTTCCATCAAGAAGAAGATTATTCCTACCATAGAGATGGTCATTGAGGGTTGGATGACTACATCAATAAGTGGCTAAACATCTTCTTGGGGCTAGAGTTAGCCCTAAGCATGCCTTCTAGATCTTGATATTTTGTATTTTGAGGGGATTTATGTTGTAATTCTTGTCTTGACATTTGATTTATATATGAATCTTGTTTCTACAATGATTTGTGTTGTTTAATACTTCCAATTGATCATTTCATTCTATTCATATGTCTATGTATGCTAGAATATATGTTCATGTGTTTATCTCTTGGTTTTGTGTTATTGATGCATGTCTATGTGTGTTGGTGCTATGAATCTAGAGATTGTCAAGGCATGGTGCTTTAATGGAATACTCTTGTTGTTTGTTTAATGGTTCATACTCATTCCTTGATGGATTGTGCCTCTATCTTAGTTTAATTAGTTTGATTTTCATGTCCCTAGCTTAGTTGTAGTGTTGTTGCCTTACTTTCTTAGATGGGAGGACAATCCATACATGTTATTTAATGTTCTATGCTTATGAATGCAAGTAGTATAATTCTCTACCTTGTTAATGTGTTTTGATTGTGAGTTTAAAGGAATGAATAATTGCTTAATTTGATATATTGTGATATTCAGTAGGTTGTCTAGACAATGTATACTTAATCAGTCATCCATGCTTGTTGATCAATCAATCACACATATTAGTATTAAAACATATATTTCCCTTCATTCATTACACATTGAGTGTCTAGAAAGGTAATATTTAGCGGTGACCTCTAAGTCCCAAGATCTCTCTCCTATATCTTTTCCCTACTTTCTAGATTGCTCTTTTACTAACATTAATCTTTAATTGTATTGTAGTTAATTAAACAATCACCAATCATCTTTGATCACTCAACATACTAGTCCAACGTTGTTTCCATATCAATATTGATTCCTTTCCCTTGGGACGATCCCTACTCACCCTAACTATATTAGTAGTTAGAAGTAGTAGTGGCACTTTATAAATTCAAACTTGGCCACTCTTTAACACGTTTTAACTTGTTGGTACACGGACACACCACATAGTATCCAATACTAGCCTCGGTCAAAGTTCTTTATTTATTATTATTATTATTTTATTGCTTTATTTTGCATATTTAATTAAATATAGAGTTGCATATTTAATTAATGATTTCTTAACATATTGTTAATTATCTCATGACATATTAGTATAAGGTTTGTTATATCTTAAATGTCACATGAAGCATATATTTACCAACAAAAACAAAAGAAGGTAATTGTGCTATGTTAATTTTGTCACATTATGCTTCTTATAATGCCAAAAAAAAAAAAAAAAAAAAAAAAAAAAAAAGGCATTATTAATTATTCTCATGAATATAACTTATAGGATCAGAACTATGAAGTACGGACACCTCTCCTAGGGGTCTCGTACCAGTGTCCGAAATGTGTCCGACACTTCTATGAAGTGTACATAAATTATTTTTTATTGGACACAGGGTGAACACGGTTGGGACACGCCGGGGACATGCAGAGGACAAGTATCGAACATGGCGGGGTATATTTTGTAATTTTTTTTTTAAAAAATGGGGTACCTAATGTAATTTTATAAGTTTAACTCATTTGACTCTTTTGTCTGAGATTCTGAACTTCTACTTTTATTAAATTTTATGATTCCATTATGTTTATTTTTTTCTTTGATTCATTCATCTCAGTACTGAAATTAAATAAACTTTTAGATTGTAACAAGGAAAACAGAGAGAAATCAGAATAATTATATTTGTGAATGTGTGTAAAATGTAAACCGTAAAGTTGTTGATAACTTTATTTTATTCTTAATTAATTGAAGTATTTCTTTTATTGCAGTATTTTTTTGGGGAGGTTAGATTTATGGTATTGTAAATTTTGAATATATATTATTTTTTAGGCGTATCCCCACCGCGTTTGTGTCTTATTTTTTTAAAATTTGTTGTGTCACCATATTCGCATCATGTCGTATCCATGTCTTGTATCTATATTTGTACTTCATAGGATCATAATAATGCTCTAGGTTATTGACTTACATAATACTAATAATATGGTTGGTCGTTATGCAAGTATTACTTTTCAGTTGAAATGCTACTAAGTACTAGCTATCTTTGAATTCTAAAAAATTTGTCTGCCGAGTTGCTCTATCTAGGGCCCACTTTTTTTTCCAGAGTTTTGGTCATCGGCTTCAATTTGGATGCCACCATCTTCTTGGACTATGTTTCCTTAGTCCAAAATACAATGTCACTTAGCTTGTTATGAACCACTATTGTACGTGTGCTTGATTTTATGTTTATAGGCTCAAAATCAATCTTGCTAGTAAGAAAAATGATTTTGAGTTAGGTTAAACATCATCATGATTATTAATATTCATAATGTCACGATGATATCAGATATTCTATTAGTATAAAATTAGTCGTATTTGTGACTTCTTATATTTACTCTTTGAATAATTAATTAATTCGGTCCTGGTGGAGACTCAACACCATTAAACTTTATTAATCTCTCTTGATCCTTCATTCATTGTACTCTGATGATCAGCTTTTAGTTTGGTTAGTTTCAAATTTACTTTTGTACCATATATTTATGTATGCAAGATCATCATCTTATTATGGTGGGGTGTGGTAAATAATTGTCTCGACTTGTCCAATATCTGTAAAAATTACTAGTATTTGCATTGCGCAGTGTTCATGCTCATTCATATAATTCGCTTTGCACACAATTTTTAAAACGCCTCAAAGTTATATTGTAGTGTATGGTTATATTATGCAAGTGTAATAATACATATATATTTGTAAGTGAGAGTTCGGTTTGGTTCATTTCTTTTGAACCCTAATTGGAATTAAACTATAAGCAACGGTTGTATAACTTTTAAAATCAGAATCAAATTGTTTTACGATGAAACATGATTAAATCGTAAAGTTCAGTCTAAACTGATATATTTCTTGTGAATTTCGATCCAACTGTTAGTTTTGATTATGATAAATCAAATACTTGACATAAACTGCACACTTCTAATTATTTTTACAAAATAAATGAAGAAATCACGTGTAATATTAAGAAGAGGTTTAGCATAAGTAATTAACCCAAGAAGATTACTTATGCTAAAATAATATAAAAAATAACTTAAGAAGAAAATCATAAGGTCAAGCAAAATAGGGACATTAATCAGCAGAAGCACCATCTAGTTCTAGTTGCCCCTTAAAATTAAATCCACATTTCCTATTAATTTATAAGTAATGTTTCTAGGAGGAAACTCTCTTGTAATGAGTTATTCTTATTTAACCATTAAATTATAATAATTTATTTAAATAATTAAATATGGAGAGTTTATAACTCTTTTCATTAGAATGTCATCTTAGTATTACTTGTCCATTAATACTTTATAGGGGACATTGTCCTCTTATAACATTACCAATGTGTCCTTCTAAGTTTAGATATGTATTATGCATATTATCAAGATGGGGGATTTCTAAAAATTTAAAGGGTAATTTTGAAAAATATAAATTTATTTAACTTTTAACTTTTAAAATTGGACAAATATTTTAGGACATCTGGACAAAAATAATAGGATGGAGGGAGTAAATATTCAATAAAGGGTTCTATACCACCGAATGATGGCAACTTACAATACGACCCATCAACACGACTCGAACATGACACGAGAAAGGTGGATTTAGGTTGACCTTAAACGGGTTTGAGTAATAAATAGGTTGACACGATTAATCCGTTTACTTAACCGTATCGGGTTAGGGTTGAAGAGGTCAACCAGTGTAACCTGTTTATACTCATTTAACTTAACATGTCATAATCGTTAATATGAGTTATGTAATATATTACCTGTTTAAATCTAATTATTATAAACAGTTAAGTCATTCTAATATAAATCTTGATTACGCCTTATGTTCTTTTTTATTTTGAATATTTGGGTTATAGAGACAATATTTTTATAGTGTTTATTATTTGATTAAATATTAAATTTTTCATTTTGATAAGCAGGTAATTAAATGAGTTAACACATTTAATAAATATGTCGAGTTAATGTTAAGAGTTTTTAACATAATTATTAAATGAGTCGATTTTAAATTTATCAATTGAGTAAGATACCTTTACATTAACATCACACGAGAGCACAAATTGTCACCCCAAAAAAAAAACCACGAGGCACACAGGAATGCCATAAAAAGTAACCCTTGGTTTATTGATACACGTGGCAGTTAAAAACGATATATAAAAGAGGAACCGATTTGAAATTTGTTTGTGAGAGAGAGCAAGAGCAAATTGGAGGAGATTTGGTCAGGCGATCGTGGAAACGGTTTTTGTTTTTTAGCTGCAGACTGTACTGGTCGTACGGAAGAGTGGAGTAGCACAAAGTGTGTGCGCAATTGTAATTTGATGGGTACCCTTTATGTCGATTCCCCATTCTCATATCTCTCTTCAACAATCCTCCAAACACTTTTTTCACAATCCCTCTCTATCTTCAACCCTTCAAGCCCCTCCTTCTTCAAAATGTCAACCGGAGCCCAAATGTTTCGGCTTAGACCACTTCTATTGCATTTCAAAACAACCCAAACCAGAGCCCTCACCCAGTTCAGAAGATGTACCGAGGTTTCTTCCGAATATGACGATATCAATGTCGTTGAGCCTCCGACCACTATTCTTCCTAGTGTATATACCTCTAAGAAGGTAATTTACTGTTTTTTTCAATTTAGTTCTTTCAATTTCTGTTTATGTGTGTGTGTATGTGAAATTTATTTGGTTTTTGGTGGTGTTGTGTTATATGGGAGATGTTTCATTTTGTGTATATGTCTATGGATCCCAATATAAGTATTCAACTTCCGAGTTTTCAATCTGTGTTTGATATCTCAGATATGCACGAGTTCTTTGGCTTCTTCCACAGATGGTGGCTACCCTCCTAGATGTCTTCTAAGAGCCGAAATTCTGCCTTGTGATTTTGTTATTCGACCTTTTAAGGATGGGGGTTCCATTCTTCAAGTCCATGCCCACATCACTATTACTATAGCTCAGGTTAAGAACTTGCAGGTACCTTTTATTGTTCATGTCACTTTGTTCAATTCAGTTTATACGTATTTTTATATATAAGTACATGTAAAATGTATTTGGTTCTTGGTGTTTATGTTATATGATAGATGTTTATGCAATCTGAGTATTCATTTTTTAAATGTGTGTGGATCTCAACTCTCAAGTAGTATCATGAGTCCTAAAAATACAGAGAGATTGACTTATGTATACATATATGAGTAAAGCAACAAATTAATTGGGAAAAAAAAAAATCTGAAAAATAGAAGCGGTAAACCTCTCCTGTGTTTGTAATTCTTCTGGTTGGTGAATTATTGAGTATCCAACTTCTGGATTCCTTTGATTTCGACAGTAATCCTTTTAACCAAAAGCAAATAACACACAATATCAGCATTGGTTGGATTTTAAATCTCAATGGTGATGAGGACTGGATCACCAGGTCTATACACATCTTTATCCGTCTGTAATTTCAGCAATGATGGAGGAGCCTTCACTCTCTCTCTCTTTGAATCACCACCTCTGAAGAAGGAAAATCCACAAGGAGGCATGGACTCACCTTCTTCCCCAGTTTCATTTCTTTTTCTTTTGCTTTGTTGTGACTTGGAATTTTGCGAGTTTGATTTAGAATTTTGGGAGTTTGATTGATGATTCAGGAAACCCTAATAAGCCCCGACAACTGCTTTTAGTCCCACGTGTCTTGTAGTAGTCTGTTTTTTGTTTTTTTTTTCTTTCTATAAGCACAACTATAGTTCCAGGCTAGATTCTACCTTATTGTATTCCGTCTATCATATATATATATATATGAATACATCAAGCTACTTCCTATGGCAAGGACTGGTGTATGGTGAAGGCTGACAGCCGATTCCTCCCTTTACGTTGCCTTCCGGGGCTCTTTACAATGTCTTGTCGGAAACTCTTTTTGGTTGGCAGGTTTCTCTTGGTCCACAAAGCTTGGATTCCCCGAATTGTGGTTGCTTGTTGACGCACTTACTCTTTCCGTTCGACGCTTCCTATTCGTTCGCCCTTAGGTTAGGCCACGTTTGCCTTCTCAAGGCATCCCAGAGCAGAGCTGGTTGGTGAAGAGGACCCTCTGCCAGGATCATGGATCTGTCGTACCTTATTTGAAGATTTGATACTCTACTTGACGATCTCGAAACGAAATCCCCCCAGCATTGAATGGCATTATTTGTTAAGAGTCGTTTTAGGTGGCGTCGTATAGAAGACCATAACTTATCCCCTCGTATAGACAAAGTAAAAAGTCAACGGTTCTAGTTCACCTATGTATCAAAGCTGGTAAAGCCATTTCTGCTCTGAGATCTTCTGTCGATTGTCCAAGTTTCTTTTCGTTTCAACACGGCATTTTTTGACATCAAGCTATTTACGCCCAGAGAGCTGCCTCGGACGATCAACGCTCAAAATCTTCCTTCCTCTGGCTCCAAAATCTCAGGAGTTAGCCCAAGGTCGAGATGCTTTTGTGAAGCTGGCCGATAAACCCTGCTTGGAAACCATGGTAGGTGCACCTTCAGTTGAAGAGAGCTGTTAACTTTCTCGAAATTGACTCTGTTCCTTACTCTCGTAACTCACTCCTAATGAAGGCAAGGCAAGTGAAAGGGTAAGACACCTTTTGCAGCAACAACCGCAGCAGCACAACCACCATCAGCAGCAGTTGCAGGTTCCTCGGGTTTTTTAGAAAGGCGATCACCGTGACGATTCTTATAATCTTTATTTGGAGTCCTTTCCGCCTTCGTCGAATTTCAAACTCTGGCGGGCGTTGCAGCCCCATGAAGTTGATGATGACACACTATTGAGCCTCGCTCATCTAAATGACTACAAAGCTGGGAACTATACCCCGGCATTAGAGCATAGCAATGCTGCTTATGAGAGAAACCCCCAGCGTACTGAAAATCTTCATTCTTTGCCCTTGGTTCTTGGATCTCCTCTTGTGAAAGGGTTGGTTTGAGTAGCTTGAAAAGCGGAATTCCATAATGCAGTGAGGAAAAGACAAAGAAGCAATCCCTACTTCCCACATGCCATACTAAAAGAAGCGGAAGCTGGATATTGATTCGTAGGATGGTTTTCGTGCTTGATAAACCTCCGATTGAGCCAGAAATAGTCCCTCCATCAACAAGGGTCACGCAAGTACTCCAAGTAAGGGAAGGCAGGTAAAGAGAAAGAAGCGAATCAGGGGCTAGTGTTCTCAACAAAGATCAGTTCCAGCAAGTGAGAATGAAAGAAAGGGTGGGTCGTAGATCACCATACCTTAAAGTGTGCTACGTCACAGCGACAGAGTTCTGAGAAGTGAATGACCCTTCTTTCTATAATACGACATTCTCAGGCTAGAGAAATTGGATCATCTGACCTTTCTTTGCACGGTAAGCTTGTGTGATGACAGATTGGTGCCTAAGAGCATGGTTTAAGGCAAGGAGCAAGTTGTCATCCTTTTGTTTTGCTTCCTCATCCATCATCCGCTATTTAGCATGATCTTTCTTATGATCATTTTCACTAACCAAACATTCCGAGAGTCACCAGCTTCCTTCTAACAGTCAGCGTTCAGCTTGGTTCATAGACCAATGGATTCCTTGCTCAGCATCTGCTATTCTTCGCTTGTTCATCGGTTAAAGGAAGTGTCCCTGATGATGTTGTTTCAGTGAATCTTATGTTATGCTAATTCGAAATTGCTCTCCTTTTGCATAGCTTCTCACGAGTGGTTTGTTAGTCTGCTTTCTGAAGCGAATCTGAATTCATTGCGTAGAATCAATTGTCTGTGAATGGAGCTATCTCCTAGTAGCCAAAGTTTCTATCATCATTATACGAGAATCCAAAATGAAAATCTAATCTTTCAGAATCGCTTATGTAGCATCTATTCTTTCTTCGGCAATGAGGTCTCTTTCTCAATGCCAAATAGATTCAAATAGATTCCATTCCCCCTTTACCGCGCTTCGCCCCACGAATTTCATGTTCTGAAGAGGAATCAAGTCAGTGTTCAAGTTTTCCAAGTTATTTGATTCTAGCGCTATCAGTCCGAAAAGCGTCCCTTTCGAGGAGTCGTTCAATCCACCAAATGAACCCTGCGTGGGTCTCTCTGTAATCCTGTTAGAGCCTTTTGGAGAAAGATCATAAAAGAGGGGGGGGGGGGGGGGGGGGGGGGGGGGGGGTGACTTCAGTGCAATAGGTACTACAAAACAAAGGGTCAAGCATCTGAGCATAGGCAGGAGAAGTTTGATAGTCAGCGTCTGTCTCAAGAAAGAACATGCGAAGACGATTCAGAGTAAAAAGCCTATCAACTCGATGTCCTTACTCTACGATAATCCTGGATTCATTCTTGAGAGGATTCATACTATCCCTCCCTCTAGAAGCCAAAGGATGAATATCTCTCTGGTTTCGGAAGCTTTCTCGACTCTCTGGTTCCGCTAAGTGGTAGCTAGGTGGTCGCGAGTGGATTCTTTCTGTTGGGGCTGTGCTTGCTTTTTAGGCTTTAAAGACAGGAATTTCCCAATCTGCATTTGTCTTTTGATAGAAGCATTCACCGAAACTAAATTCATGAACTTTTTGTGAACTCGATGGTTGATACGGGCATCCAGCAACATGGTTCAACTCCTCCTTCTCACATCGTATCCATTTACCATAGAAGAGAAATTCCCAGGTAGATCCATCTTCGCAGGGTTTCATTTTCCTACTCACGCGGTCCCGAACAAAATGTTAAAACAGGCTTTGGCTCGCAATAAATGGAACCTTATCTATCTGGGGTCACTACCAATACCAGGTTCCTCCTATATTACGGCTTTTGCTTTTCGCTGCAGACTGTGTTGGTAGTACGGAAGTGTGGAGTAACACAAAGTGTGTGTGCAATTGTAATTTGATGGGTACCCTTTATGTCGATTCCCCCATTCTCATCTCTCTCTCTTCAACAATCCTCCAAACACTTTCTTCACACTCTCTCTCTGTCTATCTTCAACCCTTCAAGCCCCTCCTTCTTCACAATGTCAACCGGAGCCCTAATTTTTCGCCTCTGACCACTTTTATTGCATTTCTAAACAACCCAAACCAGAGCCCTCACCCAGTTCAGAAGATGTACCGAGGTATCTTCCGAACATGACGACATCAATGTCGTTGAGCCTCCAACCACTATTCTTCCTAGTGTATATACCTCTATGAAGGTAATTTACTGTTTTTTTCAATTTAGTTCTTTCAATTTCTGTTTATATACTTGTAAATGTGAAATTTATTTTGTTTTTGGTGGTGTTGTGTTATATGGGAGATGTTTCATTTTGTGTATATGTCTATGTATCTCAATCTGAGTATTCAACTTCTGAGTTTTCAATCTGTGTTTGATATCTCAGATATGCACGAGTTCTTTGGCTTCTTCCACAGATGGTGGCTACCCTCCTAGATGTCTTCTAAGAGCCGAAATTCTGCCTTGTGATTTTGTTATACGACCTTGTGAGGATGGAGGTTCCATTCTTCAAGTCCATGCCCACATCAATTTGGATGTAAGAATTAAAATCTAACTAGTTCCTCTTAGTATTACATCCTTGATTTTCATTCCTGTTTCTTCTGAAATTTCGAATCACTATTACTATAGCTCAGGTTAAGACCTTGCAGGTACCTTTTATTGTTCATTTCACTTTGTTCAGTTCATTTTATATGTATTTTTATATATAAGTACACGTAAAATGTATTTGGTTCTTGGTGTTTATGTTATATGAGAGATGTTTATGCAATCTGAGTATTCATTTTTTAAATGTGTATGGATCTCAACTCTCAAGTAGTATCATGAGTCATAAAAAACAGAGAGATTGACTTGTGTATACATGTATGAGTAAAGCAACAAATTTATTGGAAAAAAAATTTGAAAAATAGAAGCGGTAAACCTCTCCTGTGTTTGTAATTCTTCTGGTTGGTGAATTATTGAGTATCCAACTTCTGGATTCCTTTGATTTCGACAGTAATCCTTTCAACCAAAAGCAAATAACACACAATATCAGCATTGGTTGGATTTTGAATCTCAGTGGTGATGAGGACTGGATCACCAGGTCTATACACATCTTTATCCGTCTGTAATTTCAGCAATGATGGAGGAGCCTTCACTTTCTCTTTCTTTGAATCACCGCCTCTGAAGAAGGAAAATCCGCAAGGAGACATGGACTCACCTTCTTCCCCTGTTTCATTTCTTTTTCTTTTGCTTTGTTGTGACTTGGATATTTGCGAGTTTAATTTAGAATTTTGGGAGTTTGATTGATGATTCAGGAAACCCTAATAAGCCCCGACAACTGCTTTTAGTCCCACGTGTCTTGTAGTAGTCTGTTTTTTGTTTTTTTCTTTCGATAAGCACAACTATAGTTCCTGGCTAGCTTCTACCTTCTTGTACCCTGTCTATCATATATATATGAATACATAACAAATAACTGTTGAATCTGTCCTCTTGGCAAATATAATTACCCTCATGATTTATGCATCTATCCTCATTTGTTGTCTACTGTTAAGAAGTTAATTGAGAGAGAAAGTACTGCCTTGAATGAAAGGCTACACTCTTGAATTCCTCTAGTTATGCATTTTAGTGAAAAAAAAAAAAAAAAAAAAAAAAAATTAACAATATCATTTCACGGATTCATGACTATTTGTAGGAGTCCGAATAAGTTTATGTAATGAATTACATTATTTGTATTAATATTTTATAATACTTCTACAGAAAATATTATAATATTTGAACTGATTGCTAGTACTATTCTTTTAATTGGAGTGTACATCCAACATGGGTGGCAGTAAACTTTCTAATTGTATCACTTATTGGCATAGTAATCTGCCATTTGTTTCTAGTTGTTAATGATATTCCTAAATAGTATATCATTGTACTTTGTAATAGCTTCGACCTATTGAACTGATTGCAAAGTTTCTGGATGAGAAACTTTGTGCTGGAAATAAGAGTGAAGAAGAACTGGTGTGCACACTTGATGAAGTTTTGGTTTTATTCAGGTTTATACAGGTAATGTGGATGTTTGTAACATGATAATAAAATTGTCTCTTACATAATTCATTTTGTACTATATTAAAATTCCTATTTAATTCTGCTCCTGTTGAAATTGGTTTGCCACTCATTTTTCATTTTATCTCCCATTGACTTAGGGGAAGGATGTATTTGAAGCATTCTATGAAAAGGATCTTGCAAAAAGGCTACTGTTGAAGACCGAGTGTGGAAGCCAATTTACCAACAAAATTGAATCGTTCAAGGTGTGTATGTTGTTCATAACATGCATCTTCTGCCCTGAAATTCTGATTGAAATCTGTCTTACAAACTCCTGTGTTATTGGCTCAATTTAGAGGGTTGCTATGGCTGTTGCCCCATCACAACTTGGCACCTTTACGGGGCCAAAACCCTTACCTGGTTCACTTGAGGCTCTTACTTTGGCACCATGGATTTGCAGGAGCTATGGGTATGACTTAAAACTACCCTTGTTTTGTTAAGCAAAATAAGTCAATAATAATGTATTTTGAATTGTCAGTCACTAGCAATGTTTAGACTCAACCAAAATATCTCATAATGTGATATGTTTAATGTGTGTATCTTAACTTCTTTCTGTGAAAAATTAAGAAGAAACATGTTACAATTTGACCTTGGCATTTGAAAAAATGTTTGAAGCAGCCTATGCACTGCTTAATGATGCTATCAGAATTGAGAAAAGGTATATTCTTACATGTTATTTACTGTTGTGTTTCAGGACCCATACCGGTGATGATGGCTCATTGTCAGACCTGCCCAATAAACCTCCCTATAGATGTATCAAGTGCTGGTTAGATGACAGGAAAAGGAGAGGAAAATTCCGCAGACAAAATTACACGGAAAGAAAAAAAGTCGAAGGCCACTATGAGGAGATGAAAGGGGAAGATAAAGCATTCCGCTGCCTCACCCATTATCCCAAAAATTTTTGTAAACATTGTGGTAATGGGTTTCAAACCCCTGGTAATCTGGGGGATCATCTTCATGTTTGCCCGCACAAGTAGGTCATCATTGAATTTGAAAACAATTACTCCGTATTATTATTGTCATTACTATTATTTATTTATTTCATCTTTTTTGCAGGATCTATAGTGAATGGCTAGCTTGGAAGGAAGGCAAGGGAGCTTAAGATCCGGTCAAAATGAAAAGTTTAGAGATCGTTAGAGTGAAAAGACAATGGCAATAGATTGTTATGTTTTTTGTCGGACCATACACCCTAGAGAAGGGAGATTATGTTTTTGTAAAAAGTTACCTTTGTTTTTTTTTTTTTCCCCCTTCTGATCACAATATAGTTCTGCAGGGTAAAATTTAGTTTAAGGTCAAATTTGGTTGGAGCTACTTTAGCTCCCTTTCATCCTTTATGGTTTGTACATGCATATGATGAAGAACAGGAATGGAGAGAGATGGGGCTTCAGGAAAGTATGTATTGGGTACCTAAGGTACTGTACATATAGTACCTCGGCCAAGGGTATACTGTCTGAGTTTTCCTTGGTGGGACATGATCTTAAGTGTGTCCGTATGCCGCTCTTCCATTTTCTGGCAATTCTGTAGGTTGATGATATTATACTACCACCAGCGCTGTTGTGGGAGGAGGTATCATTTTAAGTAACGGATAAAGGATGCCCTCTCTGAGTGGCTTCTTTCTTGTGATTCATATTGCTTGCTAAACTCTAAATCAATTAAAGATGAGGACAGCCAAACTATTGGACAAACTATAGAAGAGAAAAGGAGGGAAAATTAAAGTGTTGCAAGACTATACAAATAAAAAAATTTGGCAGCAATAACAATGATATCATATATTTTAATATCCTTACTTGTCATTTTCCATTACTAAAAAATTTCTATATTTTTTTGGGTAAGTGCTAAAAAAAAAATCCATTTTCTTCTTGATAATTGTATTTATTAAAGTTTACCAGATTTTGTTTATTTAAAATATACAACTTTCCATGCCTTTTCCAATTGTCGGATCAAAGTACTCAAAAGATGTTTAACAGTACAATTTTCAAAATATTGAAAAAATTACTGTAGAAAATTTTACTTATCAAAAAAAAAAAATTTGTAGAAAATTTTATTTTTAAAATTTCCCCGTTCTCTTATTTATTAAAACTTATCAATATTGTTTGAGCAAACATCTCGAATTTTTTAGATTGTATCTTGAATTTGGCTGGTAACAACTAAAAAGATATTAATGTGATCTAACTTAATACATATTGTCGTATTCCTACACATTATTCTTTGTGTTTCGTATTTTAACAAACTAAACAAATTGACAATTAAAAGAAAATGAACATTTCTAATTTTATTTTAAATTTTCACCTAAAGGTAACATAAGGACATAAAATCCAATGTTATCTAATTCACGCCATATGGACTGTAATTCTCAAAAGGATTTTAGTTGCTTTTATAGAGATCTGAACACTGAACCAATTCATTTATCCAAAATATTTTAAGGGATTATATAAAATGATTCACCAAAAACATGGTGTGAAAGCTTAAGATTGCTGAAGACCATGACTATGGTTGTATAACACCAAAAATATTGGTGGGCAGTAAGGTTGTTAGTATCAAGATTCTATATTGGATTGAGACGTTCATAAGATCGAGATACGACTATAAGATTGAAAGAATAGTAAGATTCTATAAAAGTTTTAGAAAAATAACCAACATGAGATGTGCTAACAAAATCAGGTAACATTCAAAGATACCAGGACACATGACAAATACTTGAAATCAAGAAATCAATTTCTTGATTTTCTGCACACAAAAGCATATTCATAACAATTAAGCAGAATCTCACAAAAGAAATTAAAATAAAACCTGAACAAATAGAAAAAGAGAACACAGAAATAGAAAGAGAATGTATGATTTAGTTTCCTAATTGACTGAGCAATATGGTTGGTTAAAAAAAAATGATCAAAACAGAGATAGAATGAATAACGGAAAAAATGAAGTCTCTCTGTGTTTTTGTATTAGCATGGACACTAAATTAGAGTTCTTTTTATTTCTTGTTCGGAAAAGAAGTAGAAAGAGAAATTAAGAAAAATAAAGCAAAATAGAGGAAATTTTTGAAGTTTTAAACCACACCTTGAATCGTTTCTAAATTTGACGTTGGACGTTTGATTTTTTTATTTTAATTTTTTAATACAATTAGGCTAAAGATTTGAGTTTTTTATAAATAAAAAAAAATAAAAAAAAAAAAAAACTTATTCAATTTATTTGCCCAAAATGAGTTGTAGGCCCAAATAAATCTAGAGAAAAACAAAACAACACGATTTAGTAGGATCGTGCGATCCTATGTGATTTTACGATCCTATTTTTGATTCTATGGCTTTGCACACTATCCATGTTAGTGGTTTCAAAATGCATTTATATAATTAGGATATGCTCACACATATAAATGCCAGCAAACCTATCTCTCAAGTGAAACATCACAATCACCTCCACTTGGGCCCTAGCGTCTTCGTTGGCATAATGCTCATGGGCTTGTTCTGGTTAAGGATTGGCCCTGAATCTTTCACAACTCGCAAAATCTATATAATCACGTTTTGAAAATCGCGAGCACGTATTATATACAAAGCGAACGATATCTAAGCGAGTTTGGGCTCAGTAGGTTCTGTAACTCTAAGAAGCACAGACACGAATCGGGACATGGGTATGATACGATACGGACATGGGGATACGACAAATCTATAAAAAAAAAAAAACAACAGGATACGGGTAAGGGGATATGGCAGATTTTTTATATACAACATAAAATACATTTTTTATCAGTTTTGTAATATTATGAATCTAAATGCACTAATTAACATGTTTATAATTACATAAGCAAGTAAAGTAATTAAACAAGAAGGAACTCTAACGGAGTAGAGTGGGAAAAACATAGAAAAAGAAAATTCCTAACTCTAAAATCTTAAAAACAAAAAAAATACAAGAAAAGATATATATATATATATATATATATATATATATAATAAAAAATAAATAAATAAAAGATGAACAATTAAGCATATTGTGGCAAATCTGGGGATCAATTGGGTAATTTAGGTGTTTTAAATGCAGTTTGTTTTATTATAACTTGACCCCCATCTCCTAGGGGTGCACACGGTCCAGTTTTGAGAATTTTGGAACCAAACTGCTCCTTACGGTTTCAAAAAATCTGTAACCAAACCAGACCAAACTTTAAAAAAAATGATTTGATTCGGTTCGATTCCACGGTTTTAGTTGAATTTTATTTTCCTATATATTCCTATTTTTAAAGAAAAAGATAGGGGAAAGTGAGTGAAATAGATTCAAAAGCTAAACCCTAGAAATTAAAATAAGGTTGAATCTTGCTAAAACTAAAAATGGTAACAAATCTGTGGTTGAAAACCAAAAAACTTGATTCGTTATCGTTTTGTTGATTATGCTTGAGGCACAAACATGCGTGAGACTCAAAGATTTGAGAACTGAAAGTGAAAGAGAAAGTGATAGGGTGTGAGAAAGGATGTTATCGAAGACAACAATAAAAGATCGAGGGCGGTAACTGAATTTTGAAGGTTGCGTGAGAGAGATTGATCGACGACTGAATCCCGCGGCAATGAGAACTAAGAAGTGAATGAGGCGGCGTGAAAAAAAAAAAAAAAAAAAAAAAAAAAGAAGATAATGGAGGAATATTGGCACACACCCAAAAATCAAAGCATTGGGAAAAGCAAAAGCAAATAAAAAAATATATCAAAATAAGGTTGAATCTTGCTAAAACTAAAAATGGTAACAAATCTGTGGTTGAAAACCAAAAAACTTGATTCGTTATCGTTTTGTTGATTATGCTTGAGGCACAAACATGCCGTGAGACTCAAAGATTTGAGAACTGAAAGTGAAAGAGAAAGTGATAGGGTGTGAGAAAGGATGTTATCGAAGACAACAATAAAAGATCGAGGGCGGTAACTGAATTTTGAAGGTTGCGTGAGAGAGATTGATCAACAACTGAATCCCGCAGCAATGAGAACTAAGAAGTGAATGAGGCGGCGTGAAAAAAAAAAAAAAAAAAAAAAAAAAAAAAAGAAGAAGAAGAAGATAATGGAGGAATATTGGCACACATCCAAAAATCAAAGCATTGGGAAAAGCAAAAGCAAATAAAAAAATATATCACAATATGAACCTTATTTTATCCCAAAAGTATCAAGGCGTATCCCACGTATACTAGGTGTATCTGAATATTAAAATTTCATTCAAAAAATTGGATACTTCTACAGAATATCAAACACGTATTCAGGTATATTTGAGTATCAGGATTGGACACGTGTCCAATATTGTCACGGCACCTCCAAGGAAGTATCCGTGCTTCCTAGGCTCTACTGTTTTAAAATGCACCTCTATGCCTCTACAATAGCTTTATTACAGGGTATGACAGTTTTTTTATTTTTTTCTCCCTTTTTTTTGGGAAGGTCAGGCTTTGACAGTTTTGGCAGAGCCAGATAACGTGTTTTCAAGTGGAACCAACTCAAGGCTAAGAAAAATTGTTTTCACTAATTAGCATGAATTTAATAATCTTCAATCTACAGATTAGGAAAGACAGTTGAATTGATCTAAGCATACCACCGGTAAGAACAGGAGACAATGAAGAAAGAATAGGCTTCCTTGGTCTGTCTATGAAAAAACAATTCAAAAAAATTTAGAAAACAATTACTGCTTTCAAACAACTATAAAAGATCTTTCAAATAACTATAAAAAGACAGTTCTTTAAAAACATGTATTTTTTAAAAAAATAATATATATTTTTTGGTTATTAGTTCTCAAAAAAATAAAAAAATGTTCTCCAAAAACTGAACCAAGCATGCCTATGAAAACTGCTTCGAGGAAAGCAGTTCAATTAAATCATGCAATCCAACCAAGTGATGGGCACTGGGCAGCTGAAAATGCAGGCCCAAAACGTAATTTTTACTTCTACCCTGGTAATTGTTGATCTTTAAATACTCCTGAAAGAAAAGAGTAAGCTTAACAGCTAGACATGAACAAAATTTCCCCGTGGAAATGTTAATATGCAGATCATTATCCAACAGATCACTGGAGCGATAAAAACTGTATTAGACCAACACAATCATTTTCAATACAATTTTAAGTACCAATAATTCACTGGCTGTGACCCTGTAAAATCAAAATCTTTAGACCCCTCTGGATCCTCCATTTGTTCCAGTCTTCCCAGACCCTGAAAAAAAAAATTGTTCAAACTAACAGGAAAAAAAAAAAAAAAAAGGTTCAAATTCAATGACTATAATATATATATGACGTACCG